ATCTGTTACAATTTACTATTATATATTATTATTATATATTATTATAAAATATTATTATTATATATTATTATTATATATTATTATTATATATATTATTATTAAATATTATTATACATATAATAATAATAATAGTAAAACAAATCACGTATACAACAACACAACGAGCGTAGAACAACCAATAGACTGCTGCTGCTCATCACACTTCTCTATTCCTCCGAAATGTTTAAATTTTAAAAAATTTCTTTCACCCCTCTCCGCTTTCTCTATCCAGCCAATTTCTATCTCTAGCACTCTCCATTATTCTTAAACTATTTCCACTCACTCTTACATGTCAATCTCTCCCAATCGTGCATTTCAAAAAATTCCATTGCGAAGGAAAAAAAGAGAGAGAAAACACACTTCAAGTACATTTAATNGAAATGTTTAAATTTTAAAAAATTTCTTTCACCCCACTTCGCATTCTCTATCCAGTCAATTTCTATCTCTAGCACTCTCCATTATTCTTACACTATTTCCACTCACTCTTACATGTCAGTCTCTCCCAATCGTGCATTTCAAAAAATTCCATTGGAAGGAAAAAAGAGAGAGAAAACACACTTCAAGTACATTTAATATTGTATGAATGGCGGAAGAGAATCAGACGAGCAAAGATACGAAGAGATAACGTAAATAATAGAGAGACAGAGAGGAAAACAATAAAAAAAGATGATGTAAGTGAGTGGTAAATGCATTGCAACGTCATATTTATATATAGCACGTCGTCGCATGCAGTGTTTTATGATTTCGTTGTGTATATTTGTATACGCATTATTATTGTTATATATTAATAATATTAATAATAATAAATAATGATAAATAATAACAATATATAATAAAAATATTAAATAATAAATAATAATATATAAGAATAAATAATAATAATATTACAATGATAAATAACAACAACAAAATAATTATAAAGTGATAATAGTATTATTAATAATAATAACAATAATAACGACAATATGTAATAAAAAGGTTAAATAATAATAATTAATAATAATAAATATAACTATAATAAATAATAACAATATATAATAAATATATTAAATAATAATAATAAATAATAATAAAAAATAAACCCACCCTCTTGCTGTCCGCATAATTCCTATACGCCTGCACATTCAACGCCCAGTCGTCAATCTCGCTGTACGTGTACAACTCTGCCAATTCGGCCGCGTGCGTGTCGCAATCCGTGTACACAAACTCCAAATCGGTCATCTCGAAACGCGACTGCAACACGAAATTTCTAAATTCCTCCTGAATTCATTTTTTAATTTTTTAGAAATTTTTGACAAATTTCCAAACAAATATCTGAAAATTCACGATTTTAGACTAAATCTTCCAATTTCAAATTGGCAATTTTCCAAGATTCACCGTGACTTGGAAAATTGCCAATTATTCGTAAAAGCTTCATAAAAAATTCCAAAATTCACCGAAAAAATTGTCCAAAAACGACTTACCGAAAACTCCGAACTCTCGGCTCTCATCCGAGCCCCGCCCCCTCCACCCTGCGTCTCCCCGCCCACTCCACTGGCTCCGCCCCCTCCTGCTCTGGTTCCCGACGCGATATCTTTGAGTTTCGGCAGTTGGGCTGACCGGCGTTGCGCTAGCGCTGACTCGCACATTTCCGTCCCATTAGCGCCGCATGTGCCGCCACATTCGATGATTATATCGGCTGGCACTGCGCCAAACTGTTGACTCATTGGCGGTGTGCCAAAGTGCGGGGGCGGGGCTTTCGCGCTGGCCACGCCCCTATTATCTCTACCATCACCAGTCGCCGCTGCTAGACTGCCGCTGTCGCCGCCATCTTCAGCGCTGCTCTGATGGTGCTCCTTGTCATAAACTAAAACAATAATAATAACAATAAATAATATTAAATAATAATAAATAATATTAATAAATAATATCAAATAATAAAAATAAACAATAATAAATAATAACAATAACAAATAAATAAACCTCACCGTCATCCGCGAACGACGGCCGAACGCGACGCGTCACCGATCCTGCGCGATTCTGGTCGCCTTTAATACACAATTATCAATAAATAATATCTATAATATTCAAATTAACAATAACAATAAATAATAATAATAAATATTAAATAATAACAACATATAACAAAAATAATAACCAATAACAAAACTATATACAAAACTCACCTTCTGAAGCCATTC